GCGGACTGAAGAGTCCCAGGTTCAATTCCGGCCAAGGGCACATGCCTGGGTTTCGTACTCGATCCCCAGTGGGGGGCGTGCAGGAGGCAGCTGATCAGTGATTCTCTCTCATCATTGATGTTTCTATCTCTCTCTCATTCTCCCTTCCTCTCTGAAATCAATAAAGACATATATTTTTAAAAAAATACAGGGTAATATGTGGCACAGAAAGACACTCGACTAGTGTTACACTCCTTTCCCCTTCCAGTTATTTGAAAGCTTCATTCATTCATTTCACTTAGGTCTCCACTCAAATGCCACTTCCTTCCTGAACCTCTCGATCCACAATAAAACCCCCAACTCCCTCTAACCCCTTATCCTGCTTGTTTTTCTTCAAAGTCCTTACCATCACTTGGCATTACATTATGTATTTCTTTGTTTTCTGTTTACTATGCCTATTCACCTATAAGGTAAACCCAGGACAGGGGCTTTTTGTTGTTTGTTGTCTTTACTGCTATATCTCGACAGCGAGGAAAGTACCTGGCATGTAGTTAGTGCTTAATAAATATTTGCTGAATGATGGAATGAATTACTTTAATGCACTTTGTAGGAATAGGGACTTAAAGATAATTAAGAAATTGTGCCCTGTTCTCAATGGTTAGAGTGCCAGCCTGTGCACTGGATGGTTGTAGGTTCATTTCTGGTCAAGGGCACGTATCTGGGTTGCAAGTCCCCCGCGCCCCAGTTGGGGTGCTTATGAGAGGCAACCAATAGATGTGTCTCTGTCACATTGATGTTTCTCTCTCTCTCTCTCTCTCTCTCTCTCTCTCTCTCTCTCTCTCTCTCTCTCTCTCCTGCTCCTTCCTTCTACTCTCTCTAGGATCAATGGAAAATATATCTTCACTCCTCAGGTGAGGACTAAAAAAAAAAGGCTAATTAAGAAATGAGATTACGGAGGAGAAACTAATTCTGTCTGCTACGGAATCTGAGCAGGCGGAAGATCCATATCTCACCTGGACTACAGCAGCTGCCTCCCCACTGTTCTCCTTGTGTCTATGTTCCCCTACATTCCATTTGTTGATCAACAGCCAGAGAGACCCCCAAAAGTCAACATCAGATTGATCAGGTCCCTCCCCTGTTTAAATCTCTCCAATGTCTTCCCATTACAATGAGAATAAAACCCAAACTCCTACCGTGGCCTGACCATCAGCCTCTACTCACTAGTCTAACCCCCTTTCCTAACACTCTCTCCTCCCTCCCTGAGTTCTGGGCACAATGGCTTTCTCTTTCTTAAACATGTAAAAATCTTATCATTTTTTTCTTTTTTAATTTAAAAATAAACATACAGTAGCCCCCCCTCCCCCTTACCTGCAGGGGATATATTCCAAAACCCCCAGTGGATGCCTGTGCATCGTACTGAACCTTACACATACTATGTTTTTTCATAAACTTACATACTGATGATAGAATTTAATTTATAAATCAGGCACCGTAAGAGATTAACAACAGTAACTAATATAAAATAGAACTATTATACTATAATAAAAGTTACGTAAATATGGTCTCTCAAAATATTTTATCATACTGTACTCACCCGTCTTTAGTTTCATGGGTAGATGATTTGTGCTTACTACCGTAGATCTTAGCAACCTCAGCATCAGATTTTTTTCTTTCTTTATGAAGTTGAGAACTTTCACCTTTTCAGTTAAAGAAAATGTTACAGCTTCTCTTTGGCATGTCCAAATTGCCAGCATCACTACTCCTGCACTTTGGGGCCATTATTAAATGAAATAAAGGTGACTTGAACACAAGACTTCAATACCATAAGTGGTCGATCTGATAACCCAGACAGCCACTAAGTAACTAATGGGCGGTTAGCATACAAAGCATTGATACGCTGGGCAAAGGAATGATTCACATCCCAGGTGGGATGGAGCAGGATGGCTTAAGATTTCATCACACTACTCAGAATGGCACACAATTTAAAACTTACGAATTCTTTATTTATGGTATTTTCCATGTAATACTTTTGGGCTACAGCTAACCACAGGTAAAAACTGCTGAAAGCAAAACCACAGATAAGGGGGACTGCTGTATATTTTTTTCATTTAATACTCTAAGTTCTATATGTTTATATAATTAACAATATCCTATTCTTATGCCTAAAATTCTTCAACAAGCAACGACTAAGGTAAAAATAACTCTTCAAGGAACATGGATTCGAGAGTACAAGTATCGAGGTCTTTTCTGACGTGGGCCTTTGTGCTGGCAGGTCCCACTCCCCGAGGCTGACCCTTCCTCCTCATTCAGCTCTCAGCAAAGGTATTTCCTTAAAGAGGCCTCTCAGGCTAAAACTGTCCCTGCCACCATCGCCTTCAGCAAGTCTCGTAGCATCTCATTATCTGCAATGCCTTTATCTGCTTATGTGTCCCATCTTCCCCACCAGAGCATAAAGTACATGAGGTCAAGGACTTTATCAGGTTGACTGCTGCATCTCCAGCCCTCATATACAGTAGATACTCAATAAATGTTTCTGAATCAGTAAAAGTGGACCTTAAAAGATGTTGGAATTTGCCAGGAGGAGAAGTACAGGTAAAGTATGCTATCAGCCTAACAGTGTCATGGGTGTTGGCTTCCCCAAGGAAACCAACATCAAAATATGTAAATTTCAGCCAAACTTACTTGGGAATGGGTACCCGAATTAGCGTCCCTTCCACTTCTGGGTTCAGATTCATTCCACTTTCTCTTATAGCCTTGATAGCTGCAGCTGTACACTGAAAACCAGATCAAAAGGTAAACAGAATTAGTAAATAATTATTACCAGATGCAAGCCCTCTGTCGATAACTGGCAACCCATCTTGGCAGAACATGGAAACATTTAGTTCTGTTACCAGTAAGATCAGGAAGTTACATTGGTGTAGAGTGCTTTGATCAAGCAGAATAGCAAACTATGTCCACTCCTGGTACCAGTGTACTGCGGGAGGAAAAAAAGCAAAGAGAAGGAAAAAATAAAAAGAAAACAGCTCTGCTTCTTTGAAAAGATTTCAATGGTTTGAGGCAAGACAGATCAAAACCACAATAAATCCTCAAGGGAGGGGGGCTGGTCTGTACAAAGATTGGTGTAAAGACAGATGAAAGATTTTATACATTAAAAATTCCAGTTGACATTTTACACTCAAAATATACCCGTGCCGACTTGGAATGAGTAAATAAATTTAACTCATTCGTATCTACACACACAGCGACCTCACTCATGCTTTGGAATGAGCAATGGCTCCCTGTGGGTGTGTGCTCCAGGAAAGAGAGAATGGATTACTGGCTGCAAGCATGGACTTTGGAGTCATAAAGAGCTCAGTTCAAATCCCAGCTCTGCTTACCATGTGACCCTGGGCAACAAGCCTGACCTCTTGGGCCTCCATTCCGTAACCTGAGACCACATGGTACATACACCTCAGAGAGGACTGAATGAGGTCGCATGAGCAATGCATCTTGCTCTGTAACTGGCCCACAGTAACACCCAGGGGAGTTATTACATACATTAAGCATATAGAGGTAAGAATGCACAAAACCCCCAAACAAGGCTGAGCGTATGTCATCACGTAGCTTATGCACTGCTGTCCTGCCTGTCTCCCTCCCTGTCATCCTCCAGGGTCTTCTCTGACACAGTCCGGCTAACGGGCCAGGTGGCGCACTGGTACTCTGATTTCCCAAAGCGCCTCACCTCAAGCAACAATATAGCCACACCTGGCATGCAATCCTAAAAGGTAAAAGACAGCAGTGTGGAAGAGAGATGCTTTCATTGGCATGACAGTGTGAAATTCATGAAAATGAGGCCTCTGATATTTTCCAAAGAATTTTAGGTTTGACCAGAGCCAATCCACATCACTTGGATTCACAGGACCAATTCTCGACCTAGAGTTCCTCCCTCGACTTCTGGTTCAAAAGAATGGGGTTTGTGTCACACCTATTTGATTTTTCCAGGGTTTGCTTTGGTTTTGAAAACTTACCTATTTTATTTTTAAATGGCTTTAATTCTACAGAGACATGAGGGGTAATCATAGGTGAAAAGATAAACCAGAACTTTCACATCAGATGAATCATTTCCATGGGAGGCTGTACACAGAATCTAACAGTGTGGCTACTGCTTAAAACAGTACATTTTCTTTTTTAAAGAATACATTTTTATTGAAACATCAATAAAGGAAGGTAGAGAGAGAGACAGAAACATCAATGATGAGAGAGAATCACTGATTGGCTGACTCCTGCACTCCCCCAATAGGATCGAGCCTGCAACCCGGGCCTGTGCCCTGACCAGGAATTGAACTGTGACCTTCTGGTTCATAGGTAGATTCTCATCCACTGAGCCATGCCAACCGGGCTAAAACAGTAAATTCTTAAAATGGTACCTGTGGCCACAGACTACTGGAGCTGGAAGGGACTGTGACAGCCAAGTACAGTCCCTTCCTCTTGTATATAGGACCTGTTGGATAAAGTCACATCCCTAAGCACATATGGTCTTCCGGAGAGCCGAGAGTTGTACAGTGAGGACCTTACCCATCACACTTCCGCTTACTGGCAGAGTTAAGAGGAGACAGTAGGCTCCTCAACTCTCAGTCCAGTGATGCTATTCTGTCCATATTTTCTTCCAGATCCCCTAGCTTAAGTATTTAGTAGCACAGGGGATTTGACTTTTTTTTAAGTAGCCCAAAAATAATTTGCTGGTGTTTTAAGGGTATCTAGCTCCTTTAAGGGTATCTTAAGATAAAGGTAAATAAAAGAGCTAGATAAAGAAATAAAATATCCCTCTGCAACAGAACAGCCATTTTCTTTTTCTTTTTTAATCTTTAATTTCTTTATTGGTTAAGGTATTACAAATGTGTCCTCATCCCCCCCCCCCCCATTAACCCCCAACCTTCCCCCCCACCACCACCACCACTCATGTTCTCATCCCCCTGTTGTCCATGTCCATTGGTTTGGCTTATATGCATGCATACAAGTCCTTTGGTTGATGTCTTCCCCTTACCCCCACCCTCCCCTACTTTCCCTCTGGGGATTGGTAGTCTGATCACTGTTTCTCTGTAATAAAATGACACAGATTTTCTACAGTTAACAATAAAGGGAGAATCTCCACTTTGAAGAAGTAGCCTGATCTCAAGTCTCCCAATCCTCCTTTTCTGATGCTTCTCACTGAATGACTGACAAATCACTGTGGTAACATCCTACCACCAGCCCCTCCCTTTCACAGTAGGACCCCAGTGTTTCCACACAACCTTCCCCAGTGGACACCAGAGCACCTACAGCTGATACCCAGATGGACAGTCATTATGTCTCAATAGCTACATCTTCCCAGTACAAGGCTCAGTGCCAGGCACATGGCAAGTGCTCAGTAAAAGCTTGTTGCATGACTATATTAATAAACTGACTCAGATCTATTAGACAAACTCATCTCCTTACTTTTACTTCTTATATATAACCCCCCCAAATCCTTATTTTGTACTTTACTTGTTCTGTGTCCTTTCATATGCAGAAAAAATGCAAATCAGATTTCATTTTGAAAAGAAACCTACTAGAAGAGGTAGTTCTAAAACATTCTAAATATGTATATTTTGGTTTGATGTGGTAGGATGCAGAAACTCAGGGAATTACAGTCATTTTCCCAACATGACTTCTGAACTACTCAGGGCTCAGATGAAAAGGAATATATTTCTATCGCATTTCCATCTTTTATCTTAGCCTTTGTCCCCTCACTGGAGGGATGCTCACCAGTACCCCAAGGCAAACAGAAAGTTCTCAAATGGCAACACTGACCAAATGATTGTGGCTGCTTAGAGAACTCTGGAGAGAGAGATCACAGATCCCATCTGGGCCCAGGCAGGAAGGAGTGCTGTCATCAATTAGCAAAGACTGCTATTGCCATTCTTAAGTTCATCTATGCTAAAGGACAAGAGATGATAAAACTTTTTTGGACAGGTCAAGTCCTTAACCCTTTGGGTTCAAGTCAACTTTGTTAGTGCCATTTCAGTGACTGGCCTTCCATTTCCTTTATATCCCAAAGAGTCCTTAGAATGTAAGGTCTATGAAAGCAGGAACCTTGTCTGTTTTTATCATCAAGGAATTAATTCCAGCACCTCAACTAAAACTTAATATCTTACAGGAACTCAAAAAGTATTTGTTGAATTAATGAATGAATGGTTAAAGGAGCACAGGCTTTAGTGTCAAACAGATCTATGTTCAAATCTTGGTTCTGTCACAACGGTGTGAACCTCAGGGAGATATTGTACTTCTCGGAGCCTCAGTTTTCTCATCTATAAAATGGAACATACAATGCTTAATTTTAGAGAGTACCTAGAAACAAAACATGATCACGTAAAAACAAAACATGAGAAAGTAGTGCCCGGCAACACAGTAGACACTCAATACACATTGGCTTTCTTCCTTCCACAAGGGAAATAATGGCACCTACAGACTTTTATTTTTTTCCATTTGCTTTTTCAAATCATGCTTTGGTTTTTTACTCCCTTCTTTTCTTTCCCATCATTAACTCTAGCTGCAGGCAAGTTTATGGAAAGCAGCAACTATGTGTATCATTTATCAAGCAGGACACATGTTAAACAAATGCAACACAGTTTTCTGTCTTCAATGCATTTGAAAGGATTATGCATGTAAATCTGCATCGTGTCATTACAGCATGACACAGAAAAGCGCAGGTTTGGAAAGAAAACCAACCGCATGTGAAACAGAAAGGAATTACATAAACACAGAGAGGATTAGCTCAGCATTTTGAAGCTATGAACCTGGGTACTCAATGGACAGCTTCTAAAGTGAAGGAAGGAAATGTTTAGTTAAGACTATTTGTTTAATATATACACCAGATGAGATAAAGGAATTCAAAAGACAATGTAACTCACACTTCCTCATTCTGTCCTTGTAACGAACCTCTTGACTGAGATGCTTGTAAAAGTTTTTTGTGGGTTTTTTTTCTCCTTTAAAACCCACAGAATTTCAACTTGGAAGGCAGAGATGCTTTGGTTGAAAAATGAAGATATACTCTAACTTCCTAAGAAAAAAATTAAGCTGTTAATACCTCCTCCTACCTCATAAGATGCACTGGTGGCCAATCACACTTCTTCTGTGAATGCCATTCGCCATTTAATAACAGAAGTGGCTGGCTCTGAAAAGCAATCTGCCTGATGAGGTCTTCAAGCTGTGTAATTAGGAGGCTATTCCCTAAATTGGCCTGCAGTGCCAATCGGATTAGGTGAACCAGGCGGGGAGGCCTCAGCAGTTCAGAGGGGGCCACGAAGGGTAAGAGTTGACTGTTCCCTTTTAGTCCATTTCTCAGCTCCTCAGTAACAGCAGGATTGAGAGCCTCCCTTCCATCAACCTAATAACAAGTATTCATCCATTTGTGGAAAATTTACTGAGTGCTTCCATGTATGTGCCAGGCACCGTTTTAGGTGCTCAACACAATGAGTAAGTTAGATATGATTCCTGCATTCCAAGCTTACAATCTAGTGAAAGTGAGGTGGAAAATAAAGATATATATAATTATTAATAATGATAAGTGCAATAAAGAAAAAGAACCGTGGTCTATAAGAGAGCTTAGTGTGGAGGAGTGGTTTAGATTGGGTAGATTAGGGAAGGCTTCCCTGAGAAAGTGACATTTAATCTGTGACCCAACCAATGTCATCCCAATAAATAAAATGGATATATATATAAGTATATATAGCGATAGATATAGATATAGATATAGATATAGATATAGAGATATAGCAATTAGCCAATCAACAGTGTTCCAAGCAAAGGGCAGAGCCCTTGCAAAGCCCTGAGGATGCAAAGGGTGTGGTGTGTTTGAGGAACTGAAAGGTCAATTTAGCTAGAGAGGTGTGTAAGGATGTCAGTAGCACAAGACTGGAGACACTGGGAGACACAGGCAGGGGCACATCATGCAAAGCATTCTAAGCCACAGTAATCTTTTTCTTTGATACTACTTGAAGCCATTAATAAATGTAAAGCATGGGAATAACATAATCCAATGTATATTTTTAAAAGTTCGCTCTGGCTGCAGTATGGAGAAGGGAATGGGGGAGTAAGGAATTCAAAAGACACATGGTCTGAACATGTTCACAGCAAGGGCTTTTTTCTTACTCATATCTCTAATCCAGTCTGCCAAATCTAGCATGTTCACCTTTGGTCTATGTCTTTGGGACAGACACACTGAAACAGACCATTGGAACAGGAAGGGACTTGAGCGTCCTTCACCTCACATTAACAACAAATGAGGAAATGGCAGCCCAGAGAGTGGAGCAAGGTCAAACAGCCAGCTAGCAACGGAGATGGGACCGGGTTCCAGGTCCTCGAGGACTTCAAATCCAGGTCCATTCCCACGGGACCACTAAGAAGCCCCTTCTCTACCTCAAATTGACCTCCTATCACAGCCCCCAAGGTGGCAACAATAATGCAGCCCACCTTCCAGGCTGGGAAGCACTGTGCTCTGTGCCATACTCTGCAATGGTCAGTCCGGTGTGAACGGAATGTGACCTCCTGGAGGATCTGCTCAAACACTAATGCAGAGGTCACAAACTAGTGGCTCGTTGAAGTGGTTTTTTTCTCACAATCTTAAAAAAAAAAGTGAATCAGTTATCAATATTTAACAAGAATCTTATATAAAAATGTGGATTTTTGGCTTCTTCTGGAAATAAAAAATCGTAATACCTGGTAATGCTGATTGCCAGGCCTACGTTTCTGGGCAAAGGCTGCTCGCAGGGCATAGGCTCCCCAGTTTACCACAGTCCCCTCCAAGTTGGCCAAGCGCCAACCACTGCATCGCCACCATTGTTTTTCTTAGATGGGGCCTGCTGCAGTAGTCAAATTATTTGCCTGGCTTCTATAGTGTTTAGCAGAAAAGGAACTTAGAAACAGGAAAGAGCTTTTCCTTCTCCCTCCATTATGCCTTCTCTCTTGTTTCATCCCAAGCTGGAGGGAATACTTCTGCTGCCTTGACCCAGCTTCCTCCTTCCAAAAGACAGCATGAATAAGGACCCTGTGAGCCAGGCCACCTTACCTCTGGGAAGCTGGCCATATTCACCAAGATCAGCTGTGGCGACTTCATGGAGATCTCACCAATCTGGTTTAAAGCAAGCTTCCCATCAGCAGTTACCACAGTGATATGATCAAGGGATCCTAAAAAAAAATAAATAAAAAATTATAGGGTCTTAGAAGTCAGAAAGACCTTAGAAGCCCCACACCTAAGTCCCTATCTACTTCAGATTTAACTAATGTTCTAGGTCCCTTATCAATGTGGCAAGACCATTCCAGGGGCTTTCACAGGAACAGCAGTGGCCCGTGATGGGAACAGCTTCGACATACTGAGAAAACGCGGCTGGAATTCCTACCAGCAACTAGGGTGGCCAGCCATCCCGGTGTGCCTGGGCCTAACAGGTTTCCCGTGACACAGGACTTTCAGAACTAAAACTGGAAAGAGTTGGTCACTGCTCCAGCAGCTTTGCCATTTACTAACCATGAAACCTCAGGCAAGTTACTTATCTTCTCTATACCTTGGTGTCCACCTCAGTGAAACAATAACTTACAGGATCAAAGTGAGGTTTATAGCTAAATACAAACCATCAAGTGTGTAAGCACCACAAAATAAGCACATAGAGAGGATATCTCTTATTAACCCTTAGTTCTTAGAACTACTCTGTAGCAATGTATTACGATCTCCACTTTACACAGAGAAAAATGAGACTTGGGAGCTAACAAAAAATACTCAAGAGCCAAGCTTCTGAAGGCTTGGGGTGGAGTGGGGTGGGGGCTGGGTGGAAGGGAAGAGGGGAGAAAATAGGGGAGGTCTGTAATATGTCAACACAACAAGAACAACAAAAAAACCTTAAAAAAAAAAAGCCAAGCCTCAAACTCAGGTATGCTAAATTCTGATTCCAGTCAGGGTTGTTCCCCTTTTACCAGTAGAACTCAAATGCATCAGAATCACCAGGGAGTTTTTTCATTTAGATTCCTGGGCCGCAGCCCAGAGATCCCAATTCTATAAGGGATTGGGAGTCTGTGATTTAGGGGAAGCCTATAATTTTTTTAAGATCACCACATGATTCTGACATGCAGCCATGTTTGAAACCCTTTTCTTATACCACCCACCTTGATTTTGGTACGTAGATCCTCTTTAGAAAAAAAACAAACATACACCAACTATTAACACTTAACTGTTACCCTGGATCTGATCTTCTTCCACATCTGAATTCTAGAAAACCCTGGGCAAAATTTTCAGAAACCCAATAGGCAAGCATATAAAGCCACGGTTACAGATAGAAAAGGGGCATTATTTAAAATCCCTAGTTTCTGCCGAAACCGGTTTGGCTCAGTGGATAGAGCGTCGGCCTGCGGACTGAAAGGTCCCAGGTTCGATTCCGGTCAAGGACATGTACCTGGGTTGCGGGCACATCCCCAGTAGGAGATGTGCAGGAGGCAGCTGATCGATGTTTCTCTCTCATCGATGTTTCTAACTCTCTATCTCTCTCCCTTCCTCTCTGTAAAAAATCAATAAAAAATATATTAAAAAAATAATAATAATAAAAAATAAAATCCCTAGTTTCCCATTCAAATGAGAACTGAGGTGGGGGGGGGGGGAACCATACTATTAACAGTAAGAACCACTCATGTAGACACAAAGAGAAAGGGGTGGGTAGGAAGGGGTCTTTTAAACAATGGGGAATTGTTAGAATAATGTAGTACCACACTATGGCCCAAAGATCTAAGTAGAAGTACTCAACCATATTGAATATCACCACAAAAAGAAGGTGGTTGATACCATTGGCTTTAATCCAGAAAAGCTCAAGAGGTATAATAGCAAAAGTTTCCTTGATTCTGAAGACAAATGTCCTGGGTTCAAATACTAACTCTGCCACCTCGTGATTGTGTGACCCTGGGAAGATCCTTCAACGTTTTTTGCGTCTGTGTCCTGATCTCTAAATGGGGCATAAAAATTGTACTTATCTCAGAGGGTTGCTTGAGGATTAAATGAAAGAGTTTACAGAAAGCACTTATAACTGTGTCCTGGCATATATAAGTGCCCCATAAATGATAACTATTATTATTACTTCTTGACTTTCCTATATTTTACCCAAACTAATCTATTTATAATTTCTCTAGTAGAGTCTGTTCTTTCTTGCCTCAAGACATTTAGCATATATTTTTCCTTGTCTGTTCAGATAACTCCTGATCATTCTTTAACACTCAGTTATAATAGCTTCTTTTAAAATATATATATATACATATATATATATTTAATTTTTTTATTTCAGAGAGGAAGGGAGAGAGAGAGAGAAACATCAATGATTAGAGAGAATCATTAATTGGCTGCCTCCTGCACATCCCCCACTGGGGACTGAGCCCGCAACCCAGGCATGTGCCCTGACCAGGAATCGAACTGTGACCTCTAGCAGTTTCTAACCTCAGAAGTCTTATCTGACCTCCTAAACTGTATTACAAACCCCCTCGTGAGTTCCCAAACATCTTATGCATCTATAATAATGATAGCCAATATTTGTTGAACACTTCCTATGAGCAAGAAATTGTGCTAAAAGTGTCTATAATTGATTTGTTTTTATTATCACAATAACCCTGAGATAGTTCCACCATTTCACAGATGAGGAAATGGAGGCACAGAGAGTAACTCGCTCAAAGTCACAAGAGCTCTTAACAACGGAGCTTGAATTCAAACCCAGGACTGACCAACTCCTAGCTAAGGTCTTCACTCTGCTTTACTATAATTTTACACATTTTGGATTAAGTGTGTTCCTTCGAATTAGGGCTCTGGGAAGGTGGGGAGAATGTCTTTTCTCTATCTACAGCACCTATTAATCAGCACAAAACAAGTGCTCAGTAATGCTTTGATGAATAAATGAATGTATACATGCATGGATGAACGAGAGAGAGCAAGAATGGACAAATGAATAAACCCATATCTTAGACAACTATTAAAAACAATCAACTACCTTGAAGATAGAAACTGTTGGTAGACAGATGAAGGTGTAAGAAGAAAAGTGCCTGCTGGTTCAGATAGTAATGAAAGATGATATAGAAGAATCTAGCCAAAAAAAAAAAAAAAAGACTGGCTACGTTCAGCCTGTTTCATCCAGTCTCTTCATGGCCCCAAGTTCTACGTAGAGCGTTACACAAACATAACCCTAAAGAGAAAGAAGCAAAGAGGAAATACCAACGGGAGGCCTTTTGAAAATGGAACTTAATTCAGCCTTCCTGGTTTGCCTGAGATCCTCTGCCACAGGAGTCCCAACATGGGCTTTCCCAGTATGCAGCATGGTGTTCCCATTCCCTAAATCCATATCGACTTAATGTATCAAATCCTTTTCCCTCAATCTGTCCCCAGCGAGAATCTCTCTTAGCCTCATTCCTGCCCCTCATTTTCTCAGAGGTTAACTTTTAACAAATTACACTCCCAACCTCTTTCCAGGCCATCATCTTTTTAAGTTGAACAAGAGTGGAGCTTGCTAACTAATTTTAAGTATCACGTTTCTCCCTGAGCTCCTCTCAAACTACTCTCTGGTTTCGGCTGCAGAATGTTAACAGGCCAGAAAGCACAGGGGAAACAAAGCACTTTATCAGTTTCATACCTAAAATAATAAGCAAGTTTAAAATAAACAGTTGGGAGAGATTGAATGGCACGCTCTACTGTCAGCAAAAGCAGAATGCCCCAGTCTAAAGGTTGACAAATGACGGAATGGTCTTCTGGTTTCACACTGGATCTTGTCGCTGAACTCAGGATGTTTCTGCTGGTGTTTATAAATGGAGCTGTGTATTTTTCACTTGGTTTTATTAAGAACAAGCTCGTGAAATATTTTCTAGTTTCCTTACAAACTGTCCAAACCAAGATGTGAGTGGGAACCGCCCAAGCTCCCACAGATATCTTCAGAGGGGGTCCCAGGCTTGACTCTAGATGATGACAATTTCCAAAAGGCCAATTTTACAGCAATTGGATTTTTCCTGCCTGCCTGCCTGCACCATTAGCTGACAACTCACTTCTTCCATCACATCTGCAAACAGTTCGCCTAGACAGTTCTGACATTTCCCACTTAGAAAAGCCACTTTCAGGAAGTTATTAACCCAAACGTAATCTTCCTGGTCAAACACGGGGGTACAGAAATGCCTCAGGTGGGCAGGTTTGCCGCCAGTTGGTTCCCAGTAAGGGATAAGAACGGCCAAACAGGACAAATTGGAAAAAGTCAGACCAAAGATGTCAGCTACTATGAGACTAAATACCTAGAAGCATATATAGTTGTTTATTATTATCATAATAAAACTCCCAATTTTTTAAGAGTACCATGAGAGCCAACAGCATGCCTGTTTTATTCACCACTGTGTACCAGTACAATGCCTGGTTCATAGTAGACAAATATTTGCTGAATGGATAAATAAATGTTAACTATGTGCCAGTCACTGTGTCAGAACGATTACATATGTTACCTCACTATTTTAAAATGCACCCCAAAGCTATAAGGTAGGAATTAGACAAGGAAACAGAGGAACAGAAAAGTACAGTAACTGCCCATGGTCGCCAATTAGTAAATCTCAAAGCTGGAACGAAAACGCAGCTCTGCCAAAACCATGATCTTTCCCCCACGCCCTTCTCCAAAATACTGGTCCAGTCACTAACCTGGTGAGGTCCTTATATTGACAGTCTTATTGAAATTATCCTTGAGTGCTTCCATCACAGACTTCATTTCTTCTTCCACCTCTTCCAAGCTGATTATATCCTCCACCAAGGCAGTGTTAAGATTCACTCTGGTTTGGGACTGTCCTTTTCCTTTGGCTAAAAGGTCAACATTCAATGATTAAAAGAACAGCAGACAATAAACAGAGACAATAAACAATCAGTGAAGAAGTGCCTACTATGTGCAGGGCAAAATTCCAAGTGCTAGAAAATTACAGAACATTATCACTGCCCTATAAAAAAAATGTCTACATTTACTGAGAGTCTACTAGAGAGCACGGTGCTAAAAGCACTTTCTCAGACACTACTGAAGGCACAGACTTATACAGAGATACCCCAGGTGAAAATCCTGGCTATAATGCAAGCTAGCCTTATGGCCTTGGGCATGTTCCTCTACTTTTCTCAGCATCAGGTTCCTTATCTGTAAAACGGATAATATCTATATTGCTAGGTTGCTACATGGATATAAATTAAGTAATTCAATACCTAAAAGAGCACTATCCACATGGCAGACACTCCATAAGTGAATTAATTCCTTGTTTTTTCAGAAAAATAAACAGAAGATGAGAAAGTTAAATGACTTGCCTAATATTATAAGGTCATGAAAGAGTAAAACCAAGATTTGGTCCCAGATCTTCCTAATTTTAAACCCATGAACTTTTCACTAAGCTGCCTCCATAAAGTCTAATTGGAGATACAGAAATATATTAATTAATTATAAAATACTAAGACAAGGATATGCAAAGTATCTGATAGCTGGTACAGACAAACAGGACAACAATAGTTCAGAAACATTTACCACCACCAATGGTAGTGACAATGGCTTATATTTTAGAAAATTGACAGCATTGGAAGCTAACTAAAGTTCTGTTTTATGTCTAAGCCATCATGGCAATTTTTCATACACATTCTGACCACTATGGTGAGTAATACAAATATTTTTGAAGGGTGAGGGAAGGAGAAAAATATTTAAATAATATCCTACAGTTATTTCTTAAATAATCAATAAACATTTATTGAAATTTATTTACAACAAAGACTACTGAACATCTACGTGAGCTAGATCCTGTGCTATTTGTATAGTGCATATCTCATTTATGTACCTCACGTTTCCTCATTTGCAAAATGGTGAGACCTGTGCTTCACTGGATAATTATAATTCCTTCAAAGGATAATTGAAAGGATTAAATTATTAAATGTAGGTGAATTTTTAAAAAATTTAATATAACATACAAATCAAAAGTTAATACTGTTGTCACTATTAAGAGGACATGAGTCTTCTATGCATTAATAATCTTTCAGTGACTTGTTAATTTTCCTATTAACAGAAAAGGGAAGGTTTGCATGAAACCATATAAGGAAAGTCAATGGAAAAAAATATTTAGCAGCATATTTCTAGCACCATCCTTGGGAGTGGACTCCCTGACCCACCACTTCAAATAGCAGATCTGTTTGACAATTTTCTGTCACTCATTTATTCAACAAAATTTTTTGAAGCATTCTATATGTCAAGCTCTGTTAGATGCTAACCAAAAAAAACATAGGCCCTCCCCTCATTGGGTCCAGCATGGAAGACATATAACAAACAATAATCAAACCTACAATGAATTAACTAATTAATGAGTACTGTGCTAAGTACATCAAAGGTAAAATAACAGTGCGCACGAGTGCACGTAACAAGGGACCTGACCCAGTGTAAGAGGTCAGGGAAGGCTTCCCTGAGGAAGTGACATTTAAGCTGAGATCTGGGGTATATCAAAGTCTCATTCTTGGATGACACAAACCATTAAGATCATCCATCTAAATCCATAGCTCTAATACTCCTTACCCAACAACCTTCTGGTTTTAATTTTACTTCCAACATAGATCTTACTATAAGGAGAAAAATGGGTTGATCCCTGCCTCAAGCATTATACCTTTAATTCTAAATTTAAAGAAAGAAATTAGGCATTTCTGAGCTATAGTAACATATGAGCAACATGATAATGAGAAAACAGGCCGTAGGTTCTCTATCACTGTGACCTTTTAAGCGAATCAATTGTATTATGTGAGAAACCATTTCCTCATGTGGCAAGGGGAGAAATTCAGTACATCTCTGATGTCCTTCCAGCTATGATAATTCAAGGGCTAAATATAAGAAAGGGGTGGCCAAAACCGGTTTGGCTCAGTGGATAGAGCGTCGGCCTGCGGACTGAAAGGTCCCAGGTTCGATTCCGGTCAAGGGCATGTACCTGGGTTGCGGGCACATCCCCAGTGGGAGATGTGCAGGAGGCAGCTGATCGATGTTTCTCTCTCATCGATGTTTCTGGCTCTCTATCTCTCTCCCTTCTTCTCTGTAAAAAATCAATAAAATATCAAGATGGGAACCAAGATGGCGGCATAGGTTAACGCCGGAGTTTGCTGCTTTGAACAACTACTTCAAAAGTGAAACCAAAAAACGGAAGGGACATCACCCAGAACCACAGGAACGCTGGCTGAGTGGAAGTCCTACAACTAGGAGGAAAGAGAAAGGCATACGGACACTCAGAGGAGGCGCAGTGCTGAAGTCAAATTCTGAGGTGTGGAGTGCGCTGAGCGGGCTGGCGGCGGAGGGCACGGTTGGCGTTTTCAATCGGGAGGGAGTCGCAGACTCTGAGCTCCAGATACGGGCGAGTCTTTAGGAACCCAGACTCAAACGGGAGAAGCGGGACTGTCTGGCTTCGGTCAGAGCGAGTGCAGCTTTCTCTCTGAGCTTTGCAGCGGGTGCTGGGACTCAGAGAGGCAGAGCCCCTGGGGACAGGACTGAGAGCCGCCATAACTGCTCTCTCCAGCCCACCCTGTTGATCCTGTGCGACCCGCCCCGCCCAAGCCCTGCACAGAGGCTTTTGCCGGATAGCCTCAGGCAAAGGCTAGATTAGCACCTCCCTAGAGGACAGAAGTTCTCTCACTGCTGACACAGCTGATTCTCATAGCCACTTGGCCTGGAGGTCAAACCCTCCCTGGAATTAGCTACAACAATCAAGATTTAACTATAAGACTGCGAACAAAGACCACTAGGGGGTGCACCAAGGAAGCATAACAAAATGCGGAGACAAAGAAACAGGACAAAATTGTCAATGGAAGATATAGAGTTCAGAACCACACTTTTAAGGTCTCTCAAGAACTGTTTAGAAGCCGCCGATAAACTTAATGAGATCTACAAGAAAACTAATAAGACCCTCGATCTTATATTGGGGAACCAACTAGAAATTAAGCATACACGGACTGAAATAACGAATATTATACAGACTCCCAACAGCAGACCAGAGGAGCGCAAGAATCAAGTCAATGATTTGAAATGCGAGGAAGCAAAAAACACCCAACCGGAAAAGCAAAATGAACAAAGAATCCAAAAATGCGAGCATAGTGTAAGGAGCCTCTGGGACAGCTTCAAGCGTACCAACATCAGAATTATAGGGGTGCCAGAATATGAGAGAGAGCAAGATATTGAAAACCTATTTGAAGAAATAATGACAGAAAACTTCCCCCACCTGGTGAAAGAAATGGACTTACAGGTCCAAGAAGCGCGGAGAACCCCAAACAAAAGGAATCCAAAGAGGACCACACCAAGACACATCATAATTAAAATGCCAAGAGCAAAAGATAAAGAGAGAATCTTAAAAACAGCAAGAGAAAGAAACTCAGTTACCTACAAGGGAATACCCATACGACTGTCAGCTGATTTCTCAACAGAAACTTTGCAGGCCAGAAGGGAGTGGCAAGAAATATTCAAAGTGATGAATACCAAGAACCTACAACCAAGATTACTTTATCCAGCAAAGCTATCATTCAGAATTGAAGGTCAGATAAAGAGCTTCACAGATAAGGAAAAGCTAAAGGAGTTCATCACCACCAAACCAGGATTATATGAAATGCTGAAAGGTATCCTTTAAGAAGAGGAAGAGGAAGAAAAAGGTAAAGATACAAATTATGAACAACAAACATGCATCTATCAACAAGTGAATCTAAGAATCAAGTGAATAAATAATCTGATGAACAGAATGAACTGTTGATTATAATAGAATCAGGGACATAGAAAGGGAATGGACTGACTATTCTTGGGGGGGAAAGGGGTGTGGGAGATGCGGGAAGAGACTGGACAAAAATCGTGCACCTATGGATGAGGACAGTGGGTGGGGAGTGAGGGCGGAGGGTAGGGCGGGAACTGGGAGGAGGGGAGTTATGGGGGGGAAATAAGAGGAACAAATGTAATAATCTGAACAATAAAGATTTAATTAAAAAAAAAATAAAAAAAAAATAAAAAAAAATTAAAAAAAAAAAAAAATCAATAAAATATATTTTTAAAAAAAAAGAAAAGAAAGGGGTGAGGAGGTCAGCTGTCTCTACCTTTGGCTTTCTTGGTAGCAAAATGACGGGTTGGTATAGCTGCATAGGCCACGTACTGCCCGTGGTCAGTTTGTCTTCCATTCACTGTCTTCAGCACAACTTCCGAAACAGGTCTGGTCCAGGCTGCAAGAGAATTGCAAAAGGCAGGATGGACCAAGCGGAAGCACCTTAAACCCAAGGCCATGACTGAAGACAGTCTGTGTGAACATCTAAAAAGAATAAGACAAAAACAGACTCTATTACAACTTCAGAAAATAATCTGAATCAATTATCAAGCAACTCCTATAAACTGAGCTATGTGTTAGGCAATTTAAGTACATTATCTCTAATCCTCCTCCCTACAGCCTCCAAGAAATATGATTAGCCCCATTTTACAGGACAAAGAAACTGAGGCTCACAGAGATTTAAGTAACTGGCCCAGTCTGTAAGACTCCAAATCCCCATGCACCAAATGCTTCTTAGTACACAAGAAACACAGAACTAAGCAAACGATGCTAATTAAATCCTTATAAGAGGAAAGGCACTACTATAAAAAGGGAGGGCAGAGCGCTGGAAGAAAACTTTAAATAAGAAAACAATTTCAACAGGCATAAAATGACTGGAAAATTCACACGACAGCATTTAATTAAAATTTTCTTTGGTTCCTTATGCACTGATTACCAATTAGAATGCACTTTAATGTGAGTCTGAAGCATGGTTGAGGTTTGAGGTCTTCCATGTTATAGAATTAAAGCTCTGGAAAATGCCACCCTTTTCTGTGCTAACACAAGTTACACATTATACTTCTGAGGTCTTTGACTATGGAAAGATGCTAGAGTCTACAGCTACCTCTAGGATAAAACACAGTCCTAGCAAACTGACAAATGTGCTTCTGCCAAGAATCGGGCTATTATTCATCTAAAAATTAAGAACAATTAGCCTCAAATACCTGGAAGCTACTGTCTTTGAAAATCAGTCTCATACTGCACTAAAACGAAACAAAATTTCATCCTCAAATTTTGATGTAGTACAACAGCCTGAATAAGAACATGGGTTTTGCAACCAGGAAGGCTTGGAACCCACTGCCAGCTCCATCACTCACTAAATGTCCCTGAACATCACTGCACCTTGATTTCCTCAGCTGTCAAATGGGGATATATTTATTTCTTAGGGTTGAGAAGAATAAATGAGCTTGTACAGATAAAACACTTGGCCCAGTGGTTAACAGACAGCTGGAGCCCCCAAAAGGGATATCTACTGATCGCTTTGACACTTTTCCTTTCAAAAACTTCCACAAAACAGTCAGACACAATAAAGAAATTTTGCATGTCACTACTGATGTACTGGTAGCCCAGAGTCAGTCAGATCTGGATGTAAATTTCAACTTTGGGCAATTCACTCCATTTTTCTGGGTATAACTTTCCTCATCTGCAAAATGAGAAAAATATCCTGATCTTAAAATGAGACGGTGAATACATGTAAAACCCCTAAAACAGTGCCAGGAACACAGCACCTGCTTAATAAAAGCTATCATTATCATTATTTTTTAAAAGAGCAAATGAATAGCACAAAGGCAAATAACTTCTCCTGATGGAATTTTTAATAGCAAGAGATGCTAGGTGTCAGTGATCAGTGTGTGAAATCAGTAAAAACAGATCTGGACAAAAAAACAACAACAAATGAATAGCATTTCCTCTTCTTTAATTATTATCAATAGTTACTATTAATTGAGGTCAGGCCTGGGTTGCTTGCTTTATCCATATTACGAGTATTTCACTTAATCCTTTTACTAATACCACAAAGAAAGTATAATAATCTCCATTTTACAGATGTAGAAACTGAGGCTCAAAGACATTGTCACTGTTTAAGGGCATGGAGCTAATAGCTCTGCCCTATTTCAGCCAAACTGTCCACAAAAGTTTGGCTCTAAGTGAGGTTTCTATATCTAGGTTTTTGCCTAATATAGCCAATGCCTAACCCACACTTACATCCAAATATGGCTGTATAATAATGTGTGTTTCTTGTTTTTTTAATCGACAAGGTCTCAATCTGGCTACTCCATTTAAGACAGGTTTCCTGGTGTTCCTGTTGCAGGTCATAATACCAATCCAGAAAGCAACAGGAAATCAAAATGGGTTAGAAATAAACAACCTTTGCCAGAAAACACAACACCCAAAAGCAGACCCAGTACACGTGAACCGGAAGCCAACTCTATAAATAAACCACATTGCTGAAATGCTTAAGGCGTAGGTTTTAATTGCACAGAAGTCAGGAAATTTCAAAGTGGAAGTTCAATAAAGGCAGTCCCTTGGACCCTTTACCTTAAGGATATGCATATTAACACTCAGTTCAGCACAGATGAAGTCAAGAAAAGCAACTATTATGGGAGCCCAAGTATTATCCAACAAAATTAACCTATACTCAGAAAAACTGTGGCAGGAAGCACGCTGTCTTGAACTAGAATCTCAGCCCCCCCAACACCACTTACTAGCTGTATGACCTTGGGTAGACCATTTATCCTTTTTGAGCTACAGTCTATGGTACACCGCATCTTTATCGTGGTGGTATTAATGAGCCTTTATAAAGATAATTGTTAACACTAATAATGAAACAATAGCTACTACTTATATAGTGATAACTGTGTGCCAGAAACAGTTCTAAGTGCTCTACTGCATACATTAACTCATGTGAGCCTTTCTATAGAACCTACTTTAACGATATCAGTTAATATTTGTGTCTTTATTTGATCACTGTCTAATTCCTTCCATGCTCCTATAAGCACTATAAGGACTGGCCTATGGCTGTCTCGATCACCGCTGTATCCCCAGTGTCTAGCACAGTTCCCGGACACAGAAGACACTGAATAAATGAGATGGATACATGAATGCAAGTCTAGAAAAATTAAGTCCTTGCCCAAGGTAACAATGCTGGCACCAGAATGAGAATCTAAACCTCAGACAGTAGCTCCTGAGCTCTACTTCCCAGCACTGCTTCAATTACCTTCTCGTTTGCCAGATTTTCACCTTAGATAGCAAGGCATGTTTTCCTCTAAATTCGGGGCCATGTGAAGTTATGTATAGTACCTCACTAAATACAGAAGCAAGCCCCTGGCACAGCCACAGGAGGGATAAGACACTTCCATAGGTGGAGGAGGAGCTTTTGCCTAAGAGGTAGGAAGTCTGGATTACAATATTCCTCTCTCAGCATTCTCTGCCAACCGTCCTCTTTAGATTCATAAAGCACTTGTGGAGGCTCCACGACTGACTTGTGGCTTGTAGCAGGTCACTTCTTCTACCTAGGTTTTGTTTTCCTCAACTACCTTTCCAAGGATAAGACTCTCCCAGATTCTGAGAAATGCAATAGGATGTGGCGAAAGGAAAAAGGCACCAAACTTAGAGAAGACCCGGAAGCGAGTCTTGGTTCCAGCACTTACTAAGATGTGACCTTAGATAGGTCAGACCCTCGGGACCTTCGTCTCATCTGTACCGTGTAGGTGATAATACCATTCGTGGAGCAAATGAGATAAGGGCTGCAGACGCACTTTGTAAACAAAGGAGGGCTGCTGAGATGACAACCGTCTTGCCACGGGACGGGACGGCACAGGGTAAGGGTTGAAAGTTGAGGCTTTGGGATTTAAGCTCCATTAATTACTAGCCACGTGACACGGGTCAAGTTTTTCTTTTTTTCCTCTGCGCTTCCGTTTCTTCATCATGGGAATAATGATATCTATACCCGTGGTATTGTTCTGGAAACTAGTATTCCTGCTAGGTGATGGGCTAGTAAATAGCGGCTACAATTTGGTAAGCGCCCCCCCCCCCCCCCCAACACACACACACACACATCAAACGCTCGAAGTTCCTAGCTGATGACACGTGTTCCGCCCCCAGCCCGTGACACCGGCTCTGATGCTACAGGTCCCGCCCCCAGCCGTAAGGTCAAGCCGGACCGGATGGGACTTGTCGGGGTACCACGATCAGGCCCCCTACGGTCCCTAAGAAGTCCTGGGGTAGAGATCTCTGGCACCGGGAGCCCGCGCGCGCCTCCAGGCCGCGCCGAGACCACTCACCAGCTATCACCCAGGCTATTAGGAAAAGACGCCGGCGACCTCGGCGACGGCGGCGGCGCTGGCGTCGTGACGTCACGGGGCGGGGCGGGGCGGCGGCGCAGGCGTAGTGCGTCACCCGCGGCCTGGCGGCTGGTAACGTCGAGACGGAGGCGTCTGGAGCGCGGTGGGCCGCGGGGTGGGGACCTGCTCTAGGGGCATGAGCCGAGGGGAAGACGCCGAGGCCAGGAGGTGAGTCCGGGCCCCTGCACCACAGCCCCGGCCCCGGCGGGCCTCCCTGGGGAGGCGGCCGGAGAAGACGCTTCTCAGGCCCCGCCCCGGATTGTCCCGCCGCTGGCCCGGAAATAACAACCCGAGTGGTGACCCGCCGCCTCTGGGAATTCGAGGCCTGGGTCGGGAAGCCGGGGTTCCACGTGGGACTCCGCCGTTAACAGCCCTTAGGAACGAGTGCCTCTGCTTCTCTGCACTTCATTTCCCCCAAGTGACTATTCCTGGCTTCCAGCGCTGTTGCAGCTCCGCTGGGAGGAGAGGTGAAAAAGCGTGCTTGTCAGCCCTGTTAACAATCTAAGTGTTGTCGCTGTTGCAAAGTCAAAGGGTTTTGAAAGCCTCGGGCCATCTTGATTTCTCGTTACACTTCATCATTTCTCAAAAAGCGCTGTGCTGAGCTGTCACCGACACTGTCTTGTTTTAGCCTCCTAACGACCCAGAGAGAGGGATAATGGTGCCCATTCTAGGAAGAAGGGAGGAACTGAGGCTGCGTGTGGAAAAGTGGCCTGCTTCGTTCATTCATGCAGTAAATATTGAGCCCTGGCCTCGAGCCGCTGGGGATGGAACCATGATCAAAATAGGCAAAGCCCTGCCCTCTAGTAGCTTCCATTCTAGTGAGGGAAACGGGCGGTAAAACAGTAAATCACAGAAAATGAATCAGTATTGTGTGGAAAGGAAAAGGTGGCTGTGATAGAGACCAACAGGGAGCTCCCTCCATTAGAAAGAGCTTTTCTGAGGCGAGGACACGTAAGGGGGAGAAGGGATCATGACTCACTAAAGTCATACAGTCATGGGGTGCAAAAAAACAGGAGTTGAATGCAGATTTTGGGGGGCCCATTTCCTGTGCTCTTCCTGCTAAAGATGGTACCCTCCTGTGATACTAAGAAGCTATTGGTACCATTTCTGTTTTTAGACATGAGACAATCAGAAGGTCCTGTTATTCAAGTTCCATCTCAAATATCTCCTTTAGAGGCCTTTTCGATAGTTCCAAAGAAGTCCAACCTCAGTATTCTTTCCAGTCACCTTGCTTCGTTGTGTTTGCAGCACTTATCACGAATTACATCTTATTTATTTTGCTTTTTTTGTGTCCTGCCCCTCTTCCAAATATTAGTACCCTGGGGGTACTTACTTATTCACTGCCCTGTCCCCAGGACCTAAACCAGTGATGGCGAACCTTTTGAGCTCGGTGTGTCAGCATTTTGAAAAACCCTAACTTAACTCTGGTGCTGTGTCACATATAGAAATTTTTTGATACTTGCAACCATAGTAAAACAAAGACTTATATTTTTGATATTAATTTTATATATTCAAATGCCATTTAACAAAGAAAAATCAACCAAAAAAATGAGTTCGCATGTCACCTCTGACACACGTGTCATAGGTTCGCCATCACTGATCTAAACAATACCTGGAAAATAGAACCTCAGTAAATTTTCTTTGAATGAATGATCTTTAAGAAAGTAGGAGGAAAGGAAGGAAAGTAGGGAGAAGACAAAATGTTTCTCTTCCTATTTTTACTCCTGGGATTCTGTTTATGTCTGTCTCACCTTCCTCACAGGAGGTAAGAGCAAGAGCTATGGGTTATTCATGTCTTTATTTTCTGCACATATCCCGGGGTTAGCAGTTAGTGGTTGCTTGTCGCACATTGCCAAACAGATTGAACATGTGAGTGGGAAAAGCAGAAGGATACCCTTTTGTGGGAATAGATAAACACAGCCAACAAACAATTATCTAGGGCAGTGATGGCAAACCTATGACACGCGTGTCAGAGGTGACATGCGAACTCATTTTTTTTGGTTGATTTTTCTTTGTTAAATGGCATTTAAATATATAAAATAAATATCAAAAATATAAATCTTGCCCTAACCAGTTTGGCTCAGTGGATAGAGCGTCGGCCTGCAGACTGAAGGGTCCCAGGTTCGATTCCGGTCAAGGGCATGTACCTTGGTTGCAGGCACATCCCCAGTAGGAGGTGTACAGGAGGCAGCTGATCGATGTTTCTCTCCCATCGATGGTTCTAACTTTCTATCCCTCTCTCTCTCTGTAAAAAAAAAATCAATAAAATATATTTTAAAAAAATAAATCTTTGTTTTACTATGGTTGCAAATATCAAAAAATTTCTATATGTGACACGGCACCAGAGTTAAGTTAGGGTTTTTCAAAATGCTGACACGCCGAGCTCAAAAGGTTCACCATCACTGATCTAGGGGCTACTGTGTGCTAGACTTTATAGGCTGTACTGAGATGGTAAGAGGTAATGGCAATGTTGTTATTAAACAGTTCCTGCCGCACCAACCTCTTGAGGCCCTTCTGGTTATATAGGACACGTTTCTGTAGCAGGGAGTTCTGAAGTCTGGCACAGCCTGCCAACTTCCCAGCCCTTTTATCTCTTCGCTGCATTATATTTTCATGAATGCTGTATTTTATATCTGGCATCTCATCTTTGTCCTCACAACAACCTTAAGGTATAAGCAGGGCAAGGTTTATTATGTAGAAATGAGGAAACTGAAACTTAGGGAGAAGTGACTTCCAGTCGAAATGCCAAAATTTGAAACCTAGTCTCCTGACACCGGGTTTTTGCTCTATATACTACTGTAGCCATCATAATCCTCACTTTCCTTTTTTGTCTATGAGATGAGACATTTCAGGAACTAAGACTAGTAATAATTTAAGCTAACATTAATTGAAAGCTTGTTAGGTGCTTTAAGAGTATTAACTCAGTAAGTCTTCACAACTCTTATGGGGTATTCCCATTTTACAGATGGGGAAACTGAGGCACAGGGTGGTTAAATAATTTGCCCAACGTTACAAAACTAGTAAATAGTAGAAATGGACTAACTAAGGAGGAAGTTCATCTCATCTTCCCAGCCTCTCAAAATATTAAACATGATAATAGCTAATATTTATTGATTATTTACTGTTGTCAGATGTAGCATTTAATGATTTTTTTCATGCACTGCCTTTAATCTTCCCAATGGCTCTGTAAGATAAGAACTGTTCTTTCCATTTATATAAATGAGGAAAAGGAGGCCTATAATGTTTAGGTAATTTATCAAGTCACATAACCTGCTTGCAAACTCAGTTCTAACTCCAAAATCTGTGGCCTTTAATTTCCTGTATTGCCTCTTTCACGAGGAAGAGGTATACTGTTGCTCCGCCTTACCCATCTTCTTCAGTGTCATTAACTTTCTTTCTGGTGGTTTCCAAGGCTTACTTTGGGTGATAATTGTTAAACTGGAGTATCGTGTAGTAAGAGAGACTTTGGCCTCCTGCCCAGTCAGCCTCTGGCTTCAGAAGAGGAAAACTTGAGTTTCTACACACAGAACCACACCCCTTTCACCTTAAATGGGAGCTTTTACTTTCTGGCTGCCAGAGGAGCTGTCCCAAGGGAACTGGTGCTGGGGCCCTGGTTGTGGAAGAACTGAGGCCTTTGAAGGATTGCCCAGGGCATTCCCTCCTTGAATAAATGTTTGTTGAACTGAATTTGAAGTCTCATGTTCACACAGTGTTGCTCTTCTGCTGTCTGAATGTTCGCATTTCCTTTAGTATTTAATAGAGATTGATGGAAGCAGAAACCAAAACTCTTCCCCTGGAGAACGCATCCATCCTGTCAGAGGGTTCCCTACAGGAAGGGCATCGGTTATGGATTGGCAACCTGGACCCCAAAATCACAGAGTAAGTCAAAGTCATCTTGATTCATTGCCTAGAAACGGGGATGTCTGCAGTGGTATTCAGAAGAATTTTTTAGGATGTAGGATATATTTTGGCCCTTTTACTTACGTTTCAGTTGTCTTTAAAGGAGATGTGATGTTATTATTAGCCTGTTATTTTGGTATTTTTCTTACATTTGGACTCTTCTACTGCAAAGACATAGACTTGGATAGCCTTTAAACTATATTCTTTTTTCTACTTGCCAGAGATCAACTATTTGAATCCTTGTACCCATGATCAGGAAATTATTTTCTAGAATCAGCTTTGGGCATGATTTCCTCAAAATGAAGGAACAAGCAGAAGTCTCAGTATATTCATAGGCAGGTAGAGGGGCAGCATTTGACTTTAATTCATGTTAAACAGCCATGGGAGGTCAGAGCTGGAAGGGATCTTAGAGATCACCTCAGTCCCTTTGGTTTTCATTCATTAAATGATTTGAGTGCCTACTGTGTGCCAAGTGCCCTATGCTAAGCCATTTTCCAACTCTTAAAATCTGAGGAACCTTGTCTTAAAGTAATGAGAACATATATATAAAGTAAAAGCTCAGAGCTGCTCTGATTAAAGGAGGGGAAGAGGCGCACTCACAGCCTTTGGTAACTCCCACCCTGTCTTTAGCAATCACTTATTGGACTCCATGAGGACCATTTGAAAATCTCTGATATGTCCAGTTCTCTTAACCCACAGTAGAGGCCCCAAGAGATGGAAGTGCCTTGCCCACCACAGTCAGAAAAGTAATTGAATTGTCCTGACTCCCCACTCTTCCCGCTGTGGACATTATAGTGGAAAGGAATTTCTGAGCAAAGAGAATGGAGATGTTTTTCCTTCTCCCAGTTGTTCAGGGTGGTGGTTGGTAGCGGGTGAGTGGATTGAGCCAGATGGGGTCAGTGCTTAAAGTAAACGTGGAAGATTTCATCAGTCCTAGTAGTTACTCCCTTTGTAATAATGTTAAAAGGAAGGGGAGAAGAGACAGCGGAACCTTCAGAGTCTGGAAAGAGAGGAGGTACATTTAAGGGTTGAGATTAAGAGACAGGAAAAGGGATGTAAACTAACATATCATGACAGAAAATTTAGTTCCTTAAACCTGCTCAAGCTCAAATCAGCTAAATGTAGATACTGTTCGGTCCCTCTGGAAATTATGATGGTATTTAAGGTTGTGTTGCC